TACACACTGTCCCCCTTCCAGCATCTTGTCCACCCACAGCCACCTCACAGAGGGGAAAAGAGAGCCTTGACACTGTGCAAGTACTGCTCAGCAACAGCCTGAACACCCGCGGGTAATCAACACTGTTAGTTGCAAATCCAAAACGCAAGCAGAAAGGGGCTGCTAGGACGAAGTCCCAGTGTGCTTCTAATGCATCTCCTGCTTCTCGAGGAGTTTGCAATGAATCCAGAGTCTCCATTAATCTTGCTTTCAGCAACTTTGGTTTCAAATCTCTCCTCATCCCTGGGTTGCTGCTGCAAGCATTTGTATATCCTGCTGCCTTTGCTGTGCCACATGCTTTGCCAGCTCTGGCAAGCTGGGACATCTGCCCTCACGCTCTGGAGGAAGCTGGTAAAACCCAACCCCAGAAGGGGCTGGATGTGTGCTCCCACTACTCCCATGCACTTCAGGACATAAGGGTTAAAAATGCTTAATGGTGATGAAAGCAACTTTAGTTTTTGAGCAAGAAGGAAAATAGCCTGGTACAGCTGAGTATTTATCATGTAAGTGATGCAATGGGGTAGTGTTTAGCAGCAGCCACAGGCACGGGGGTGCTGTGAACTCCTGACTGGGCTCCTTTCTTTAGCACGAATTGCAGCTGTGCTTATGGGAAAAAAAAGGGACAACACCGAGCCTGTTAACGAATGATGGCTCCTTTGGGTAAACGGGATGAAAGAAGACAAAAACCACAACAAAACAAGTGGAGATGCCGGGGATTGAACCCGGGGCCTCATACATGCAAAGCATGCGCTCTACCACTGAGCTACATCCCCTTGCTCTATGTGTATTTCCCGCACAGGAATACATACACGGTGCAGCCGTACGTTGGGCCCAACGAGACCACCACGCTGCTCCTCTCAGCCCCGCACCGAGCTCCAGCCCCGGTAGGATAGTGCCGGGGGTGGCGGCGACCGTGTCCTTATAGTGCAAGGCCTGAAACCAGCTTCCGTGCCCATCCTCGTTAGTATAGTGGTGAGTATCCCCGCCTGTCACGCGGGAGACCGGGGTTCGATTCCCCGACGGGGAGGTCCGTTACTTTTATCTCCCCGCTTGCGACGCGGGCGTGGAACCGCGGGGCCTGCAGGCGAGCGGCCGCGCCACACCCCGCAGCGGGGCACGGTATGGGCGCAGAGCTGCTTTTTATGCAGGTGAAGGGGAGCGGAGCCCGCCGCTCCTCCCAGGGTGCGTTCTGAGCGCCCCGCTGCCACCACTGCTGCCGGTATTCGGGAGTTGCGGAGTCCCGTCCCCGCCCTGCGGGGTGTGAAGCAGCGCGGTGGAAGAGGCGGGCAGCGGCTGGGCCCACGGGCACGGCTGTCACCTGTTACCACGGTAACACCACGGGTGCACTGGGCGGGGTCCTATTCGCGGCCAGCGGGCGGCTGTGTGCCCGCCGAAATAGCTCAGTTGGGAGAGCGTTAGACTGAAGATCTAAAGGTCCCTGGTTCGATCCCGGGTTTCGGCAGAGTGCCTTTTCTTTCATCCCGCCGGTGACAGCGGATTGTTTTGCCGCGGAGCGGCCCCGGCGAGAGGCTTCTGTGCTGAACATCGCGGGCACTCACGCGTGTGGGGGCATTGGGCGGTAGAACGTGGTTTCCTGCAGGGAGTGCTGCGCGGGGATGGGCCGGTGCATATGGAACCTCCCTCATGAGCTGTCCTCGTTAGTATAGTGGTGAGTATCCCCGCCTGTCACGCGGGAGACCGGGGTTCGATTCCCCGACGGGGAGGCTATAATACCTTTTTTTAAGTTATTTTCCAATTTCGTGACGGAATTTTCTGATTTCCGGAGGAAAAATGAAACGAACCCGTGTGTGTGTGTGTGTGTGTGTGTGTGTGTGCGTGTGCGTGTGTGAACGCAGAGTGCTCCCGCACTACGTTTACACCCAGCTCCCGTTTTACCCCGCGCAGCAGCGGCGGGAGTGCGGCCCTCTCGCGGGCAAAGCTGGCCGCCAGACAGAGCAAAGAGACCGCGTGTGGGGATGTAGCTCAGCGGTAGAGCGCATGCTTTGCATGTATGAGGTCCCGGGTTCAATCCCCGGCATCTCCACTTTTTCCTGCCTCATTTATTCTCTGTTCTATCCCTGTGATCTGTTTTACCCGGGGTTAAAGTTGCCGCGTCACACGGAACACTAAGCTGCACTGTGAACATGCTGCCCCAAAAGCCTGTTTTTTGTCACTTGTTTCTCCTCAGGACTACACAAACACAATTCTTGTGTCTCTCCAGATAGCTCATTGCCACACTAAGGCCCTGCAGAGGCAGAGCAGCCCAAAAGGAGGAAGGGCAGCCCCTTGCAGGCTGACCTGTCTCCACCTGAAGCAGGTTGGAGGAGCTCTTGGGAAACAACAGAAACCAAAGCCCATGTACAGCTTGAAAGAGCTTTTATCTACACAGTGCAGTTACCAGCTGCTTTATCTGCCCTGTTCAGTTATCAGAGAGCTGACTAGTGACAGATGTAAAATGACATTTCCTGCCAGAACAGCTGAAAGGCTCCTTGTGCTATTTATTTACTAGTGTTATTTCTAGTTGTTCTTTTGAGCCAAACTTTTGGCTACAGCACTGTTCAATGTGAAGACCCCTGTTGTAACTAGCTCACTGGACAGGATCTCTCTGGACAGCTGTACTTCATGAATATACCCTGCACATGAATGTGAGAAAAGAGAGGGTTCTTACCCCAGGGATTTTGTAGTTATAGGCACAAAGTAACAGACTTTGGCACAGGAAATCATATTTGCCAGTAAAATAGGTCATGGTCTGTTAGGACCAACGTCCTACTGTTCACCAAGCTTGTCCTGAAAGCATAGCAAGGGGTAGTGCAGAAGGCACACAGGGCATCTTTGTTCACAGAAAGCCCCTCCCAGCTGGGGAAAGCACAGCTCTGCAAACCAGCCACCGGTAGCAGAGGACCCTGTGGCATTCGGGCCCAATGTCTGCCTTTAAATCTGAATAATATCCAAATCTGAACATTCAGGAGAATGCTGCTCCGCCATTTGATTCAGACATCAGGTACAAACTCACTCGGGATGCTCAATGGCCAATCACCCCAATGAGATGAAGAACGGCGCTGTATCGTCTCAATTTCATCATTACAAAACTCTATCTTGTCGTGAAATACATTGCCACATAACTATTTTTAGAGCAGTTCTGCAAGCTCGCTCTGTAACTAAAAGAACAGGCTTGTCATCATTATTCTCTTTCAGATGAGAGACCTAAAGCCGAAAGACTACTCCAGTCTCCCATGTTTATACAACTCCAATTGCACACAATATAAACCACTGAGAGGAAGCCAAAATGCTTCAGTGGATCTTTTTTTTCCCCAGCTAACCACCCCAGGTGTTTGAGATTATTATTACTATCGCAATGCTAAGTTTCAGTACAAACATAAGGCAGCCAAGGCTGAGCATTCACCTCCCATAAAAGCTCTACGTGTCAGGCAAAGGCAAGTGGGTTTCCCTCAAACCAATCACAAAGCTGTTGCTGGGCCTCTGCTCCCTTCCTACTGGTGTGCAGCGCTGGGTGTCATCTGTGTCCGTTTGGAACGCAGCCGTTTTCCTTGGGTGCTGGCAAAGGAAGGATTTTGGGGGTGGATTGAACTGAACATCTCACCAGTCCTGCGAACAAAGCCCCGTTTGTGCTCAGCTGTGTGCTTGGATCGCCGTGCAGGCCGGCTGGGATGGACCACGAGCCAACAGAGTGCAAGAGATCTACCAGAAGGTGTTCTGCAAGTGGGAATA